TAAATGTAGGTCCCTTGTGGGGTTTTTCCAAACTTAAGCGCATATTTTTTTTGACGCAGTTTCTGGATTTTTTTCTTTCTTTCTTTTGGTCAATGACAACTGCAGGGTCTGCTTCTAGGACTTTCTATATCATCTTCCTAGGGCCATCTGTTCCAGTATCCAGCGGGGGGAGCCTGGAAAAGTGTCAAGGAGATCTGCTTCGTCTAGACTGGTTCATAGACCACTTCAAAGTCCACATCTGTGTCATTTTCCCCACTTCTTGATTCAGATAGAGAGTTTGGCCGCTTTATCCCTAACACAGGTATCTGGGGTTTGTGACAGAGGTGGTAGCAAGTCAGTATTTGTTAGTCCAAGTCAAGTCACTTGTAAATTGTTGCAATCTAAACCAACTCACAAGTCATTTTGTCCAGTCACAATTCAAGTCAAAAATTAGTTTGGTCCATAAAAAAACAAGCCACATGTCTTTTCCTTCAAGTCTACAAGGTAAGTTGCGCCTTATTTCATCTCACTGTAAAAAGTAAACAGGGCCTGGCATCAACTGAAGACTTATAATTTGAGACAGATGAGTTTAACTCGCTTGAGTTACAAATACACGTACGCACGTACGTGTTTATTATGTCATAACAATTTCCATGTGTACCACTACACTTTTACAGTACATGTACATGTCCAGTAATTCTTTAAGAACTGTCAAGTGATACCAAATGTTTGCTACTGTGTCCGCCCAGTTAGATTATAGCTGACTGCCAGCAATTAGACAAGGGCCTAGTTTCAATTCATGAAATTTTCCTTTTATTTATTTTCCTTTTAATTATTTTCAAGCCACAGCCAAAAGATCAGTCCTAGCCTTAGGCACAGAAGACCGATGTGGAAGTCCAAAGGAAGTCTTATGCCAATTATTTTAAGACCACAATTGGTGTAAGAAGATAAGGCTGAAGGTAATACCCAGGTGTGGGGCTCTCTGCAAGCTTGCTTGTAGTTTCGTGAATCTGTCGATGTTTCTCCCCCCCCCTATAGAATGTTGTCTAGCTGATTTTGGAATGTACCCATACATTTTGTATGTTGTTTTATCGAAGAGGACTTGAAATGACTTGGCACAAAAGATTTTTCAGATTTCCCCTCCCAGTGGTGGGCTAAAGGTTACTACTCCTACCAATTTTGTGTCAAGTGCTCGTGACATAGGCCTAGACCTATTTTATCTCAAGATGAGAGAAGACTGTGCAGTCGTGGAACGTATACTTGAAATCCTCAACAACTAGCCCTTTAGTGATCATTTTCCATTAAATGAATTTGTTTGGAACGCGTAGATCGACACTGGTTCTGACTATGTCTAGCTAGTTCATCTCTCGACGTCCTTCTGAATGCCGGCTTTGATTGCGTAACGAGTGGGGAACACCGTGTCGCTGGCTCGCCTCGATACATAAGGCCTACCACTGTATTTCTGAAGATTGGCAATAGCTTCTGGGCAAATTGTATTGCTTCTGGTTTCATGCCGAATTTGACAAAGATTTGTTTGTCATTCTTAATATCCTGTGTCAGGCTTTCACTCCGAAGTACATGTTAGTATTTCCTAGTCAATTTCTGTGTGTAGTGTTGTGCTGTATGTAGCGTGCTGGTGATTGTCTGAAATCCGAAGGTCATTCGTTTTGGCAAGGAAGTTATCTGGTTGGAGTTTCGTCNAGTTAGATTATAGCTGACTGCCAGCAATTAGACAAGGGCCTGGTTTCAATTCATGAAATTTTCCTTTTATGGTGTAATTATTTTCAAGCCACAGCCAAGTGATCAGTTCTAGCCTTGGGCACAGACGAACGATGTGGAAGTCCAAAGGAAGTCTTATGCCAATTATTTTAAGACCACAATTGGTGTAAGAAGATAAGCCTGAAGGTAATACCCAGGTGTGGGGCTCTCTGCAAGCTTGCTTGTAGTTTCGTGAATCTTTCGATGTTTCTCCCCCCCTATAGAATGTTGTCTAGCTGATTTTGGAATGTACCCACAGATTTTGATGGTTGTTTCCTCAAAGAGGACTTGAAATGACTTGGCACAAAAAAAAAATTCAGATTTCCCCTCCCACTGGTGGGCTGAAAGTTACTACTCCTACCGATTTTGCGTCAAGTAAGTGCTCGTGACATAGGCCTAGACCTGTTTTATCTCAAGCTGAGAGAAGACTGTGCAGTCGTGGAACGTATACTTGAAATCCTCAACAACCAGGCCTTTAGTGATCATTTTCCATTAATTGAATTTATTTGGAACGCGTAGATCGACACTGGTTCTGACTTTGTCTAGGCTAGGTCATCTCTCGACGTCCTTCTGAATGCCGGCTGTGATTGCGTAACGAGTGGGGAACACCGTGTCGCTGGCTCGCCTCGATAACTGTCTCAAAGTTGCCTCCCTCGATACATAAGGCCTACCACTGTATTTCTGAAGATTGGCAACAGCTTCGGGCAAATTGTATTGCTTTTGGTTTCATGCCGAATTTGACAAAGATTTGTTTATCATTCTTAATATCCTGGGTCAGGCTTTTACTCTGAAGTACATTTTAGTATTTCCTAGTCAATTTTTGTGTGTAACATTGTGCTGTATGAAGCGTGCTGGTGATTGTCGTGACAGTCTTGTCTGAAATCCGAAGGTCATTCGTTTTGGCAAGGAAGTCATCTGGTTCTCTGTTTATAACGTTTAATGTTGTATAGTGATCAGTTTGTCGTATAGTATTAGTAAGGTTTTTATTATGTAGCTATCAACTATTGACAATTAAAGTTTGTATTTTAATTTACATTTGTTTAATGTGTGCAAAAAGGCCAAAGTAATTCCCTTTAATGGGATAATAAAGTTGTATTGAATTGAACAGAATTGAACGTGGGGCCGAGTTGATTTTGCTGTTGCAGACAACAAATTTTGCTGTAGTTCCACATATATTTTTACTGATTATCGTCTGGAATTTCCTTTCACAGGTAAAGTCGTTCTGAAAGGTGTGTAGCTGGATTTGACTGGCCTGTAGTCTTTGCGGATTGCTCGGTCTGTGCTGTGGTGTATTATGGTA